CCCCCCCCCCCCACCAGTGGGCACCGCTGCCGGGCCTCCAGCGCGGTGGCTGAGGAGGGGGGTGGCGTTTAGCATCCGTGCCGCCAGTGCAGAGCCGGAGCTGCGGTGGAACCGGCTGCGGGGTCCGGCTGGGCTGGCCCGGTTGCCCGCGCCTTGCCTGGCTATGGCTAGAGCCTGACGAGCTCTGCTCCCGCCGCCCACCTGCGGGCGCCGTTTGTAATGGGATCCCCTAACGTAACGCGATCGATGGCTGCCTCTTTGATGTGGGCGATAGTGTCAGCGGATTAAAAGGGACACCAAGCCGCTCTCCCGAGTGGAGAACCCGCGGCGGCGGCGGCGACGGCGACCGAGCATCAGATCCCTAGCCCCGCAGCCCAGCCTGGCTCCTCGCGCGGCAGCACGAGGGCTGGGGGCGGGGAGGGGTCACCTCCCAGGGGTGGGGACTGAGGGGGTGTGCGTGAAAGGAAGAGCCTCAATTAAAACCTACAAGAGCGCTTTCCTCTGCGCTGGGCAGGGGCGCGCGTTTGCGTCAGAGGGCGCGCAGGGCGGGCGCAGGGGGCGGGGGGAGTCGACGCCGCCGGCCGCGCCCCGGGGCTGCATGGGCTAGAGGTTCAGCCAGCCGGACTGGGTTGGCCTCGGTCCCGCCACGCAGGCTAGGGACAAGGCGTGGCGCTAAGACGAGCTGAGACTTCCTGAGAGCGGTGGCGCCCGTTCACCCTCACTGTGGGCTCTTTCCGCTAGCCCCCACCCTGAGCTTCCAAACATGAAAGAGGCCCCTGGGATCCGGCATGACCCTGGGCATGGGGAGAATTGGGGCCCTCGAAGCTTCAGGCGAAGCCACCCCCTCCTCCAGGAGGAAGGGAAAAAGGGATGTAGTAACCGGCCATAATCCAAAAGATGGGGGCTGTTGGCGGTGGTGACCGTAGCTGTGGAAAATCTCGGCTTTTCAGAGCAGTGGAGAGATCGCTCTTCTGCCGGCCCTATGTGCCAAATTTCTGTCTTGCCAGGGGGCAGGAAGAAACCCGAGCTTTTTGGAAGAAAGGTGCTGTCCCCCTCTGGGACTTGTACAGCCCGAGCGACACTCAGGGCTCAATTCTTCTTACGGACCTTGTGTTCCGTATCGCGTTTGCACACTGTGTGGGTGTGCCTCCTCTTGTGCTCACAGCCTCAGCCCCAGCAAAATGGCTTCCATGGAGGGACTGAGGGGTCAGCTCAGGTCCTGGGCAGCTCTGCTTTCTCTCTGCGAAGCTCTCCTTTGTTCTTGGTTCAACTTGGCACACTGGTCCTGGGGCCTTATGCGCCCCATGAGGACATAAAAATAATCATATTTTGTGGGAGTAGGTAGGTCCACAAACTGAAATTCCCCGCAAGTGTCCAGGCCTACTCAACTGCAGGAGAAGAAAACACAGTTGCAATTTCCACCTTTATTTTAGGCCTCTTCTCCAGATCTCTCTCTCTCCTTTTTCAACTAAGTCCTCCACCTTGGTTGCCTTTAAGTCTAAGCATATACAGGTAGCTCTTGGACCTAGACCCACTGTGGCCCTTGCCTCAGTACCCTACTTGAGACTGCCAGCCCAGTGACCATATATACTCGGTGTTCTCCAAGGTCTCGCTCACCTGGTGAGGCTGGTCTAGGGATGGGGAAAAGCTCACCAGGGTCTGGGATCCCCAGTTTCCCTTTTCAAGTCTTTCTCTGGCCATGTGGTCCCCACAGGCCCATTCAATGCGCATAAAGTCTCCAGTGTGGTTCCAAGAGATGATGAGAAGTTACCCCTCTGCTTGGGAATGAGGAATCAGGTTGTAAGCTTGCAATTTCCCTTGTGGGTTGCTAGCATTATGGCTCAGCCTGAATCACTTTTTAAAATATCTTCCACCCAACACTTGATCTCTCCCAGCCAGATCGCTGGTAAACAGTTATGACCTGCTGGGGAGAAGGAGAGAAGCAGAGATTGGTGGTGGCATATACTGTGCTGACTTGCATTCCAGGCCCCAGAGTCTGGATCTAAGCAGACTTTCTAGTTGATTAACACCCTGCTATCCCAAATCTTTCTTTCCTTGAAGGCTGAATTATTCTTCATCAATCCCATGACCTCTTTGATATTGGCATGTTGCTCTCCCCAAACTCACTAGATCATTCATTTTGGCTTTTTGGTAAATCACACTGAACAAGGTGGCCTTGCAAAAAATTTTCTACATCTAATTCAAAAGTGGTTGAGACCCTGCAAATGACCAGGTATGTGTAGGAAATTTTCTCTCATACGTTTTTCCCACCTCCTAAATTGTTAAAATGGCATTTTTCAGTTTAGCGAGACCACAGAACAGAAATAACCCTGTTTTATCAAGCCCATCTGGAGAAATGAGTATGCCTGCAATTGTTGGGAGAAAGGTCAGTTCTACTGCTCTTACTGCAGACCTTTCCCAAAGAGCTTGTTT